TTATTTTTAAATTATTTCCCAGTGCATTGTATACTTGATTACCTTGATCTTATATTTTTATAAGCTCAGATGCATCAAAATTGGTAGTATATCAAAGGGAAGAATAACTTTTCTATATTGCATATACTTAAAAGACAGTATTTGAGAGATCAAGATGGTGGATAGCAGAGTGAAGCAGAAACTCTGAGAGTCACAATTTCACACAATACTTCAGAGACATGGTAGCTACATTTGGGGTAATTCTGATTCATTTTAGTGAACTTAATTACCAACAACACTTAGGGTGCACATAAAATTCAAAGACTGACCCTTAAAACAGCTTTATTTGCACATAACACCCAGGGAAGTACTGGCATGTTTTGGAACAGCACAGCCACCAGTGTTTCTCAAAGAAAGCCACCAGCCATTATTTCTCTCCTTTTTTTTCTTTTTCTTTTTGTCGTTCTTTTTTCTTTGAAAAAGCAGAAGACTGAGGATCAAATTGAACTGGATTGTGATGCACTGGACTTGTATCACATGGACACAGCCTACATACACCCCACTGGTCTGGACCCAACTCCACCAGTGAGTCTGAACCCTCAACAGCTGAGGACCACACACCACCTTCCCTTGAGTAAAACCTCCCTTGAGTAAAACACATAATCTAATACAGCTGGTGGGCATATTTTTCTGCCTCCACCTGAACAAAGCCGAATGTCATAAAGAAAGAACATAAGTGATCTCTACCTGGCAGGGACCAGGTGGAACATTGCAACAACCTCTGAGAGTACGGGTAGGGCAAGAAGTCAACCTCCCAGGTTGAGGAGCGGGAGTGGGGTGGATTGCTGTGTTTGCTTCCTTGGACAGAGGGTGGGACACAACTCTGAATTGCCAAATCTTGCTTGGGGAGAGGCTGACCTACCACAGCCAAGGCAGCTATGGAGTAACTCAGCTGCTGCCTGGTAAAAAAAGAAACATATCTGACCATGTTAGAGAAGCAGGGGGTGAGCACACATAGAGATAAATTGCAAACTGTGATGTGGGTAGGAGAGACCAGTGGATGCTAATCTCATGGTGAGATTACTTCAGAGAACCCCCCACGCACACACACCAGATGACTCACCACACCAAGGAAATACTGAGCTCAAAAACCCCAAACTAATTCATCCCTAAGCTTTCTAACAAAGAGAGGCAATTTCCATTGCCACACAACCCACCATACCAACCTTGACAAGGGACAGGGACACTAAGAATGTCTGAGGCAAAAGCAATAGTACCTGGATTTGATTCCAAAGGATAAGTCCAGAGCTTTTGGTGAACTGCTTTTCTTTCTTTTTATCTCCCTTGTGTAGTTAGTATTTTTAATTTTATTACAACTATTTTCTTATCCTTACTCATACTCTGTTCATTTTCTCTCTTCTTATACTACAAATCATTGATACTTATCTCTCTCTTCTTCTCTTCACAAATATTGACCTGCTTAGCCCTCTCTTGCCCCACTTTCCTTTCTCTCTTCCAACTATTTTTCTGCCTGTTTCTTCCATTATCTCCTCCTATCTTCACCTTTCACTCATCAGCTCTCCCTATTTTTTACACAAAGCCCTTATTTCATCCATACTCACCACTTAACAACTAGTCTGCTGTACCAGCTGTACACAGTTCCCCATCCATCCTGTCCCTCTGCAATCAGTCTCCCCCACAACTAATCTACATTTTAACATTTGTAAGGGTCCTACTACACTACAGCCCCCCCCCACACCTGACACCCCTTCCCACCCAAACCATCCCCCATTTCTATCCTCCTTTAACAACATCTTTTTAATTATCTAAGTGTCTATCTCCATCCAAACAACCATTATCCCCTCAATTCCTACAGTTAATAGATGATATCACCAAGGGGCTCTACATGTATTATGTAAATAATTGAGTGTGCAAATTTGTTATTGATAATTTATACCTCTATGTCAAGGAACAAAATACAGTGGAAAGCCATTCCAGCAGACTAGACAGGTAGACAGAATTTCAGGGTTCAACACAAAATAGATATGAAAGAAAACAACAGAAAACTCTTAGACAAAAGACTCAAGAGCTGTGAGAGGAATATGCAAGAACTCAGTGATTCCATAAAAAGGCCAAACCTGAGAATCATGGGCATTGAAGAAAAGAAGAGGTGCAAGCCAAAGTTATACATAATAGATTCATTAAAACAATAACAAAAAATTTCCCAGATCTCAAGAAATATATCCATTCAGGTACAGGAAGCCTTCAGGATGCCTAATAGACATGACCAAAATAGAGTCTTTCCATAGCACATTATTGTTAAAACAACTAGCTGAGAGAATTAGGAAAGAATACTGAAGTATGTAAGAGAGGAAAGTCAAAGAACATATAAAGGTAAACCCATAAAAATAACAGCAGATTTCTCAACAGAAACCTTAAAACCAAGAAAGGAAAAGAGTGAGGTATTTCAAGCACAGAAAGAAAAAATTTCAGTCCTCTGTTATTCTAGCCAGCAAAGCTATCATTCCAAATTAATGGAGGAATAAAAGTCTTCCATGATAAACTGAGACAATATATTAACACCAAACCACCACTAAACAAGATTCTGAAAAGAATCCTACACAGAGAAGATAAAAATAAACATAACTGTGAAATGATAGGAAATATTAAACCTCAAGAGAAGAAAAGTACTCAGAAAGTGGCATAGAATTTATTGTAAATGCACAAATACTTCAACAACAAAGAATTAAATAGTAAAAATCACCAAACACTTCTCAGTATTAACACTGAATTTTAATGGACTTAACTCCCCCATCAAAAGACACCATTTGGCAAACTGGACTAAAAAAGCAGACACCACAATCTGTCACAAATACACTCACTTTATTGATAGAAAAAAACTCTGTGTTAGGGTGAAAGGGTGGAAGAATATTTACCAAGCTTATGGCCCCCCAAAACAGGCAGGTGAAGCAATACTTATATCAAATAAAGTGGAGTTCAAGCCCAAATTAGTCAGAAGAGACAAAGAAGGTCACTTCATTCTAATAACAGGAGCAATACATCAAGTGGAAATAACAATTATCAACTTGCATGTGCCCAAATCATTGTGCTCATGTTCATGAAACATACATGAGTGAACTTAAAATCACAGAGAGACCACAATACCATGATAGTGGAGAATACACTAGAAGCAATAGGAATAGGCAATGACTTCCTCAGTATAACACATTTGGCTCAGCAACTAAGAGAATCAATCAACAAATGGGACTGCATGAAATTAAAAACTTCTTCACAACAAAAGAAATTATTTGTAAAATAAAGATGATACCCACAGAATGGGAGAAAAATCTTTGCCAGACAACCAGAATATACAGGGAGCTCAACATATAAAATTCCAAAAAATCAATGTCCCAATGAAGAAATGGCAAATGAGTTGAACTGATCCTTTTCAAAGGAAGGAGTCCATGTGTCTAATAAACACATGAAAAAATTCTCATCATCCCTGTTCACAATGCAGTCCACCCCACTCCTTTTAAGATAGGTACCATCAAGAACACAAACAACAGCAAATGCTGGTGAGGATGTTTGCAAAAAGGAACCATCATACACTGTTGGTGGGAATGTAAGATATTACTACCATTATGGAAAACATTATGGAGTCTTCTCAAAATACTAAAAATAGATCTGCCATAAGACCCAGCAATATCACTCCTAGGGATATACCCAAAGTGTTATGAGTCAGGTTACAACAAAGACACCTGCACACAAAAATGCTATGTGTTTCTTATTATTGCTTATTTATACTCTTCAACAGGACTGGAGAAAAGCGTAGAACAGTTTCTGCATGGAAGTGAGCTGGGTGGGGAAGAAAAGGGAGGTGGGGGGACATGGGTGAGAAATGGAATTTTACTCAGCCTTCAAGAAAAATGAAATCTTATCATTTGCAAGTAAATGGATGGAAGTGGAGAACATTATTCTGAGCGAGGTTAGCCAGACTCAGAAGAACAAAAATCATATGTTCTCCCTCATATGTGGTCTTTAAATCTAGGGCTAATCATTCTTAAACCTCTTTAAATATTGCTTTCTGTGTTATTCCTCTCATTCTATATACCATACCTTAGCAGACACTTGAAAGGATGTTAAAAGATCATGAGCATGGCATATAACAAGCCCATTATCACCACAAAATACATCCAGTAATTAAGATAAAAACAGACAATAAATACCAGTGTGCTTTTTAAAGAAAAAAGTGTTCAAATTAAAGGAAGGTAAAAATAAACCAAACCTACCTTATATTATCGTATGCTAATGCAACACATGAGGGAGAGCATGCAGACTTTGGCCTTCTGAGCCTGGCTAATTTCATTTATGATGTTCTCCAAATCCATTCATTTACCTGCACATGCCAAATTTATTCTTAGTTGTGGCTGAATAAAATTCTATTGTGTATAAATGCCACGTTTTCTTAATCCATTCTTCAGTAGTGGGTCATTTTTGCTGTTTCCATAAATTAGCTATTGTGAAAATAGCTATTTTTGCTAGTTGAGATAAGGACAGCTATACAGAGAGATCCCAAGCATTGCTTTCATGGACAAATGTAGTACAACCAAGGTTGATTCATCTCTAACTGATCTTTACACTGGTTCCTGATCCCCTTCTCACGTTGACTCTGTCACTTTAAGGTTTCTGTATTAATTCCTCTGGAGTGGGAACATCAAAGGCTTTCATGTTTTGGGTTTTCTATCTAACCCTGTACCTCCTGTATATGATCTCCCTTTGTCATGTAACTCAAGTCCAACAACATTGTTGTATTTGCCCTAGATCTAAAGGCTGCATGATGTATGCACAAATGAATAAATGAAAATAAAAAAAATCACATGAAAATAAAATAATGATTAGCACTTTTGAGAAGTACTGTTAAAATGTGCACCTCAATTATATATACACTTATGTGGGAATATTTGAACCAGAAATATGTAGTGGTTATTTCAGAGGACCCATGTAATTACTTCCTTTTTCCCATCATTTTTTCTTTTTTAAACAGGTGTTTAAGCAATATGCAATTAACAAATCACATTTCAGAATTCCACATCATGACAGTCTTCTAGTATAAAGAACTGAAGCCCATCCTCCTTGGACTGTTTCTGTCCATGCACCTGGTTATGAAGCTCAGGAGCATGACTATCATCCAGAACATGGGCTTTCATACCTATCTCTACACACCTAGGTACTTCTCCCTCTGCAATCTGTCTCTGTATGGTATCTGTTTCATCTCCACAATGGTCCAGAAGATGACTGTGAACATCTAAATTTAAAGTAGTCATCTACTATGTGGGGTCCCTGACAAGGTGTATGGATGACATGCCCTATGATTTTCTATAAATGGTTTGTGGTCATCTGTGTTCCCATTTCTCATCCCCTGCACTATTCAGTCATCATGAATCCTAGCCATTTTGTCACCTTCTTTATTCTGGCTTTTATGCTTAGCCTCTTAAACTCCGTCCTGCAGAATTCACTGTAAACTTTGCCCAGTTTTAAAATTTTATTCATAACATTTTTAGCACATAATTGTTGCACAGATCAATATATTGTGATATTTAAATAGGTTCTTATAATATATACTAGTTAGATTTGCCGCTCCATTGTTCTCCCTCATCCCTCTTCTTAGGACAATTTAAACAGATTTTATCCTTCTATTTTCATATAAGAATACAAAATACATGCACCATATTCACCCTTCCCTTATATTCAACCCGAAAAGACCTATTTTACTATCTTGTCCTTCATTTTATTAAATGTATATTGATAGTCCAGGGTTTTTTCCCTGATATTTCAAGCTGGGATATATCATGCTTCAATCAAATTAAACCCTTGTTACTCTTTCTCTATCACCATGCTTCCCTAATATTCAATAGCTTACAGAACAGTACACTATATTATATTCATACATATATAAATATATCTATATTCATATATACATAGATATGTTATTAGAATATTGTTCATTTTCTAATATTTTCTTTCCCTCACTTGTCTCCCATAGTCCCTTCAGACACTCCCTGACACAGTTTTGATCTGTCTTGCTATATATGTGTACATATATACCTCTGTATATGAGTATATATTATACATATATATATATTTAACTTATGTGTCTAATATCCATATGAGAGAAAACACTGACTTTGGATCTTTTGAGATTTGTTTACTTTGCTTACAATGACATTTTCCAGTTCCATCTATTCATCTGCAAACAACATAACTTCCTTCTTACTTATGGCTGAATAAAACTCCATTGTGTCTCTATACCACATCTCCAACAAATGGTGCTGGGAAAACTGAATTTCTACCTGCAGAAAACAAAAACAATATCCCAGTCTCTAACTCTGCACTGGCATCAATTTAAAGTGGATTAAAGATCTTACTGTAAGATCTGAAACAGTGAAATTAATCCAGGAAAAGGTAGAGAACGCACTGGACCACATAGGCATAGGAAAAACTTTATGAATACAACATGTTAGCAATTAAGAGAAAGTAAAAACAAATGAAATCATGTTGCCTCTTCATAGCAAAGGAAACAGTCACCAGACTAAAGAAACAGACTGCAGAATGGGATGATAAAGGATTAATAGCAAGACATCTGACAAGGAATAAATAATCAGAATATACAAGGATCTGAAAAACTAACCTCTCAAAGAATCAACAAACCACTGAATAAATGGGGAAATGAACTGAATAGACAATTATCTAAACAAGAAGTAAAAATGGCAAAAAAAAACACATGATGAAATGCACAACATCTCTGGTCATGAATGAAATACCAATTAAAAGTACATTGAGATTTCACTTTATCTCAGTCAAATGGCTATTATCAATAACACAAACAACAAATGCTAGTGAAGATGGGTGAAAATAGTACACTTTGCCAATTTTAAGACATGTAAATTGATCGTTTATTCTGTTAGGCATCTATAGTCATCAATAGTGTCTGTTCTGAAACCTTCATCAATGTATTTATTTGTTACTATCTCTAGATTTTTTTCCTGTCTTGGAGACTGTTTCTCTTAATGGCAAAAATAATTCCTCCATTCTTAGAAAACCATCTTTGGCTCATTGGATGGATAAATTCCCATGAAAATATTATTTCCTTATCATATAAGTTCTAACCTGACATTTGGCACAACCAGATAGGAGGATATTGATATGCAAAAAGTCAGAAATTGTATGTGTAAATTTCATGGTCTGTCTTCTGTTGCTGCTTCTAGATAATCCACTCCATGTTTTATATTTTTACACAATTGTTATACTGGTCATACATATTTCATCCACAAATGTAAAAAATGGATTTCTTTACAGTGTTCAGAAAGCACTGCACAAGTAAGTACTTGAAAGGGAATGATGAGGACAAGGATGAAAGTCACAGTGTCCTTAATATCGTGAATTGTATGATATCAGATTCCTGAGTTGTAGTCCCTGAGCTAGGTTTTGTACAATTGTTTGTTTCATTTAATTACTTCAGTTGAAAAGTCTTTCACATGCCACAAATCTCCACTTTAGTTTCTAGATGAGGGAGACTTTGTATGTAACTACTGTTTTGTTGTTAGACAAAAAGAATAAACAGCTATTTAATTTTTCATATTTGAATACAGAGTAGGGTGTCCTATGGACAAAGCCAGGCAAGCTGGTCCCTTAATATAAAAGAAAACTTCTCTGGAATCAGTGTAGGTGTCCACCTTCTGATAAATGGACATAAAAATATTGAATATATATACAAGGCAGTATTCTTCAGCCATAAAGAAGAAATAAATCATGTCTTTTACAGAAAAATGAATGGGAATGAAAAAAAATCAACATATTATGTTCTTAAGCAAAATAAGTCAAACTTAGACAGAGACATTCTTTTTCATATGTGGAATATATGCAAAAAAAGGTGGCATGAATTTAGAACAGGAACTGTCTGATGAAGGGAACCAAAGACAAACAGTGAAAGAAAAAGTAAGGCAGGATTATGATCTAAACACTTTATATATATGTATGAAATTAGAATTATGAAATGTGTTAAATTGGCTTAAAGGGAGAATGGGGGTAAGAAAGAACAATAGAAGAGATGAATTTGGTGAAAGTACATTATATACATGCATTGAAATATCACAGTGGAATTAGTATAGATCAATTAGAAAAACAGTCCCTGCTCTTGTTTTCATCTTTCAATTGTTTGCTTAATTTTTACAACCGAACTGGACAGTAACTTGGTTCAGCTTTATTACATTGTTAAAGAAAAGGACTGTTAATTTCACTGATGTACACTAACGTCACTTCTATCCAGAATTCATTCCTCTTTAGGTTGAGAATCAGGGATATTAAACATCCTGTGAAGGTATCACACCAAACAGTGGAATTTCAGGATGTCTACCATTTATTTGAAATGTAGGTTGGCAAAAACAAAAATAAATGGGAGCCTGCAAGCCTCGACTTTTGGCTTGCCTGATATTTGTAGGTTGTGGGATTTAATCATCACCAAGTTGCACAAAAAGTCATTACCCATTTGGGAGGGCAAGAAGGTGAAATTTTAAAAATAGGGACATAATTTAGTTGGGGAAGTTGAAATTTATGGAAATGTATGTTGGTGATAATTGCACGAGATGAATCCCATTAATACTACTGAGTAGTGTGTGTGTCTGTATATTATATACAGCATATACATATATACACATATATATAGCATATACATATATACACATGTATATATATGTATATATGTATATACATATATACACAATCACAATACATGATGGAAATAAAACAGAGATGGAAGTTTAAAAAAAAGTAAAACAGATGCCATGCATAATACACAGAGCTTCCATGTGAATATAGGAAGAGCCAGAAAAACTTTAGTAGACAATGATTTAAATTACTGCTTCCTCCATTAGCTTTAGGAAATCCTTAGAGATTTGGATAACATGGATGGGTATTGCTAATTATGAGCACAGTGCATTGAGCCTTAAGTTCATATAATAGTCAATAATTAGCCTGTGAATCCAGCTCATTAGCCTGGTGGCCCCATCCTTGTGGTCTCTCTGCCAGTGTCTTCTCCTTCCACTGTTGTTGCATTAAGAAATTTTTATCTGACCCTGTGTTCCTGTAAGACTTGAGGAAAGATTCAAATTTCACAAGGCACAAGGCAAGGAAATTACGTTGGTTCTGCATTCCTTCCTCATGAATCATCAGAGGAGTAGCCTAAAGCAGTAAGTGTTGAGTGAAAGTTGAATGGAGGAAGGCCCATTGGAAACACTGTTAACTCATCATCATGAGAAACATGAGTGTTAGGGAAGCCAGATATGAGGATAGGGCCAAAAATTTTCAGCTATGATTTTGAAATTTATATTGTTTGTTTTGTTAAGGATTCCAGATAATGCAATTAAAGTTTTGCTTCTTCCTGCACTTGTATACTGTATATAAGCCCTCAAAGTGGACTTTAGACAAGATGATGTTGAAGGATGAGGTTGACAGTAATAACATGACTCATATTTAAGGAATTTATCAGTGCTGGTTTCTGAGCGAAGTGTTCAATGATGCTCGTTTCATTTCAGCATTTCATTTACATAGTATTCCACAAGTCATAAGTGCCCACATTATTTTTTGAAAAAAGAAATCACAGAATTTTCCAAAACTAATATATGGTTGTTATAATCAGTGATGAAATATTGGAATTGGTGTGTCTGAATATATACACAGGTCATCATTTCAGGAGAATCCTGGAGAGTTGTCTACTAAACAACTCTATGAGAATCTTTTCCTTCCTTGAAACTTCAGGAAGCATTCACTTGGTTGCTGCTCTCTTACTATTGGGGATTTCTGATTTATTGCAGCACAAAGCTGTGGATGGAACCTGCTAAATAAAGCATAGAAAGGTAGCTGTATTTCAAAGGATAGGACCATAGAAAGAATATGCATGTGATAATAGAACACAGAATTCCTCCTCTCCCCTCTCAAAAATATCCTTGCATCTTACCACATGCTCCTTCATGGTTATTATCACTCCATTCTACTCAGAAAATGTAATGGAGTTTTAATACACACCACAGGTATAATTGTTTGTACATTTGGCTTAAATACATTTGAGGTATATTCAAGATGTACTCACAAATTTCTGTTAGCTGATCATGGTTGTACATACGTCTAATCCCAGGATTTGTGGAGATGCAGAAATATTACAAATTTGAGGTCTGTCTAGGCAGATCATTGAGGTTCTGTCTCATAAAAACAAACAAGACAAAAAAGTGGGTTGAAGACTTAGCTAAGGTTCTGGAGACCTTGCTTAGTAAGCTTAAGTGTGTGTGTTCAATGCCCAATACTGTAAAATAAAAACCTTTCTGGTATAGGACACAATGAAGTTTCAGTATATCTTACACAGAGCCTGCAAACTTAATGTTAAGTCTATTGGCTTCATTTATTATAGGCCACATATTTACTCTCTCAGGGTCTTAACATTTATATCAGAGGTGACTTCATATTGAGACAACTGCATTGAGGAAGTAATAAACCAATATAGGTGCTTACTATAAGACAAAAATGTGATGAAGATATAAAATAAGCATGAAATAAATTTTATATATTATTAGTTATAATGCTAATCATCTTGCCATTTGATCAAAATGTCTTAGTTTTTGAAATTACTTTACTCCCATTTCTTTAATAGGCCTTTGTATATTTGTTCCTAGATAAGTTTAGGTTGCATATTTGAAAATGAATGCCTACTTCTCTCTCATTTGGGATTTTCCAGAGTCTTTACCTTGCTTGAGGCAGAGGTGGCATCAAATATAGAATCCTCTGTTAAACATTGAAAAGGCACTTTCTCGGGTCCCCAAAATTGACTGTAATTAGTGTGGCTTTGACTCAATTGTTGTATACCTGTCTGTACTTTCCCACATTACAGCAATATATAGCATAAAAGACACAAGAAATGATAGGTCTTGTTTGTGTCTGGCCCCCTGAATTTCATTTAGTAGCATCTACACTAATTAATTCTTGAAAAATTATGGTAAATATTTACATAATTCTTCTTCCAAAAAAGAGGCAGGAAGAGAAGTGCAAAAATAGCCTTTATTGTTGAGTTGATTTCCAGTTTGAGGTCCCATCAACCTATATTTTACTTTCTTTTGACAATTGTTCTCATGAATAAGCTAATTATTTCTATGAAGATGAAATTCTCTATCAATTATTAGGTTCCAAAATTCCCTTTACTAGCACCCATGTTGGGAAGATGGGTGTTAGTCTTCCCTTTCCCCTTAAGCAGTATGTGTACTTAGTGATGGAGAGCTTCATATACATTTTGCATAGAGTCATAAGTCTTATTACATCCTTGGGTAATATCTTCTCTATGGGAGTCAAATAGTAATATTTGCTATGTCAGATGTAAGTTCTTGGTCAATAATCATGCAAAGTGTTTTTATTGGATACATAGAAGCAATATTTTTGACACTGTACACTAACACTAGTAGTTTCACTTTATTGGGACTGATTTTTACTGTGCCAACAAATGTAGATTAATAATAAAACAGAACACGCATCAGTTGTTGAAATTCAAATAAGTATCTCCGACCCACATATTTAGCTGCAAAGGAATGTTTGTATGGTATGGGAAGAGACAAAAGGATTTAAAAATACTGCTGAAAAAACAAATCCTCTAATAAAATGATTTTCCTCCCTCAAATAATGCTGTACATCACTTAAATTTGAAGTTTTTGCATATACCTCATAGTGCAAACATGGCAATATAAACTTTTACATTTCAAGGGAGCTAGATCTTAGGGTGAAGACTACTTAGATGAGTATTAGATATATTTTAAATAAAGCATAATAAAACTTCCATATGAATACACTAACCACTGCTGACACACATACATTAATGTACCCATTGAATTCATGCCAGCAGGACTTTTTTATTGTTTTGCTGGATATGAGTACACTGTAGCATTTACAAAGTTCTCACAATTTATCAGCTATATTATACTTGTGTTAACCCCCTCCACTGTTCTCTTGTATTCCTATCATTCCTGGAATAGTTTCAACAGATATCATTTTTGCACTTGCGTACATGTGTATTGGGGGTAAGAGAGGTAGGTCGTAGAATGGAATCATACAGAGATGCCACATACTTAAGTTATAGAAATGATAAATCAAAATCATCCAAAGCATTCATTTTAATCATCCATTAAGAAATATTTATTTTACAATATAGTGTGTGGGTATTACTGAGTATAGTTACAGTCAATGTTTATTGGTCACTTTCTAAATACCAGGAAATATTCTAAGGCTCTTGCTATTAATCCTTGTATAAGAACTGACTCCCAGATATACTGAAAGAGATGGATTTAGCCCAATATCACTGTACCTTGGTATTTGAAAATATTCACATGTTAATATACTTACAAATGAGATTGAGAATCACTAAGTTATGCAATTAGAAAAGGAAAGCCCTTTTTCAATATCACAATAAGCTAGATAATCATTATGTCTACTTTAGAGATGATAACACTGTCCTAGTATGATTACATGGGTTCAATTTTTATTTTTTCAAATTAAATTATAGTGAATTAACACCTGAATTAACCTCCAGTAGCTGAGGTGTGAAAATTACAATCAGAGCATAAATATGTAAAATCAATTAAATGGTTCAAGAAATAAGGCAATCAAATATGTATTTAGGTATATTCCTTGCTGACAAATGAAAGCCATCAATGATACAGAGAATATTTATGATTATAAAATCAATAAAGCAGTCTTCCATTATAGATATTCAGAAGAAAAAAAGGTGAAAGATTCTCTTGCTTAGTAGATATCTGGTTGAGATTATATGAAGTTGGTACAAATAAACCTCCATAAAATAATAAAAATATTCAGATGTGCTTCTTTCCATTTTCAGCTGTAGCATGTGCTAATTTCACATTCTTAGTCAGTAATGACATTGGTTATGGGCATTTAACTTAAACATATTTATCAAAATTTGAGGTTCACCAAACTAATGATACATGTTTTCTGTTAAATAATTTTCAAAAATGAACAAAATTTGGGTGACCACATATCCACAAAGTAGGGAAATGATAATCATATGAAACTGAAAATGTCCTGGGACATAACTGCAACTTAATGTTCAGATAATTCTGTCAAAGCTCTTATGTGATGTTTTAAATATCTTAAGTTAAAGTCATTGCTATCATTGTAGAAGTACTTTGTCCATATTTCTTTTTCCAAAGGTGCCCAAGCAAAACAGAAGCACATAATCTAACTCAGATTTCAGAATTCCATCTCATGGGACTCTCAGAGGATCCAGAACTGGAGCTCTTCCTTTTGGGACTGTTCCCGACCATGTACCTGTTTACAGTGCTTGGAAACCTGCTTATCATCCTGGTTGTCAGCTCTGACTCCCACCTCCACACCCCCATGTACTTCTTCCTCTCCAACCTGTCCTTTGCTGACATCTGTTTCATATCTACCACAGTCCCAAAGATGATTGTGTGCATTAAAAATCAGAGTAGGGTCATATCCTATGTGGGCTGCATGACACAAATGTCTCTATTTTTTGTTTTTGGAAATATGGATGATATGCTTTTGACTGTGATGGCCTATGACCAGTTTGTGGCCATCTGTCAACCCCTGCATTATTCAGTCATCATGAACCGTCACTTCTGTGTTTTGTTGGTGTTTGTGTCTCTTTTATTTTGCCTTTGTGAATCCCAGCTACATAGTCTGATTGCCTTATATTTTACCCACTTCAAGGATGTGGAAATTTCTAATTTCTTCTGTGAGCCTTCTCAAGTCCTAAATCTTGCCTGTTCTGAGTCCTTTACCAAAAATTTAGTCATGTATTTAGTTGGTGCTATTTCTGGTTTTCTTCCTCTCTCAGGGATCTTTTTCTCTTACTATAAAATTCCATCTTCCATTCTGAGAATCCCATCATCAGGTGGGAAATATAAAGCCTTTTCTACCTGTGGGTCTCATTTGTTGGTTGTTTGCTTATTTTATGGCACAGCTATTGGCGTGTACCTTGGATCTGTTGTATCAACGTCTCCTAAAAACAGTGCAGTGACCTCAGTGATGTACACTGTGGTGATCCCCATGCTGAATCCCTTCATCTACAGCTTGAGGAACAGGGACATCAAAAATGCCCTTTTTAAACTTCAGAGCAGAGCAATCTAGTTTCTTTAGATAATGCTTCATTTTCATAATTCACATTGGAAACCAAACTTCTATACCTGATTATTATTATGATTAAATTTTAGTGGTATCAGGACTTGAACTCAGGGTTTCTTCCTTGCTAGGCAGGTATTCTACCATTGAGCCATGCCCCCTTCACTGTTTTGCTGTAGTAATTTTTCAGGTAGCATCATGAGCTTTTTGCTTGTGAATGTTCTGAGACTATGATTCTCCTACCTATGCCTCCCATGTGGCTGGAACCACAGGTGTGAACCACCATACCTGGATTACTTATTGCTTACTTTTGCTCTGAAGGCATAGAATTGCTGTCTGCCTTACCTCCACCTCATCAGTAGCTGGGGTTGTAATTGAGAGTTCTCATACCTGGGTCTGGACATTCCTAAAGAGGATAAAAATATAGACAGAATCATGGTTGTTGAAGCCACACTGCAAGCAGCCTTTTTTTGTGAAACACAAAGACTGGTTTAAAAGAGTTGTGTTTGAAAGAGGATTTTTTCCATTTTTTATAAGTACATATTCCTTGTACAGCATGGGGACTTTCATTATGGTATTTCCACACATGCATATAATATAGTGTGCTTTGATCCTATTCACCCCCATATTACCACACTCCTTTTATATCTTTCTTGCAACTTTTAAGAGATTTCATCATCTTCTTTTGATATTTTCTGGCTCTTTACCCACTCGTATCCCTTTGCCATCTCCCACTGTTCCCAAAACATCCCCCTAATTGTGTCATGACTGTTTTCCTCTTTAGCTCTAGCATCTACTTATGAGAGAAAGAATGCAGTGCTTGGATTTCTGAGGCTAGATTATTCTACTTTACATCTTTTGTCTGTCCATTTTTAAACAAATGGCATAATTTTGTTCTTCTACATGACTCAATAACATCCCATAGTGTACTTCACTTTTCTTCTCCATTTGTATGTTGATAGAAATTCTACACCTTGGCACATTCTGCTAGCATTATTTTTTAGATATTATCTCATATTTTTGTCTGGGCCAGCTACTGACTGTAACCCTGCCATCTTTGAGTCTTCTAGCTGGGATTACAGACATGCACCACCATGCATGACTTCTTCATTGAGATGGGACCTTACTAGCATTTTTCCTGGCTGGCCTTGATTTGTAAGCCTCCCAATTTTAATTTCTAAGGACTAGCATTACAGACATGAACCATTATGCCCAGAACATGAACACGTTTTTAAAGAGAAAACAGCATGAGAAAAAGCAAATAAATACCTGGACTTCTAGCCCTCTGTATATACCTTCAGTTCAAGTAGTCACCTGTAATGCATTCACAATTGATGTTAATACAAATTAGAAATACTTCTCAGTTATCACAAAATCATCTTAAATTTCTTCCAATCCTACTTTCTGCATTATTCATCTCCTGATAAACATATTATTTTGGAGACACTCGAACAATGATAGAAAACCAGGAACATTTATAAATATTAGGTCCATTTTCACACTAAAATAAAATCAACACTTAAATGAAAAATAGAGAACTTATGCATGGTGGCACACACTCCTATCAAACCTACTCACTAGGCAGAGGTTGGGATCATCGTGGATACAGGTCACCCTGGCCAAAGTGTTCAGGTAACCCCATCTCAACAAACAAGCCATGTGTCATGGGGTGTGCCTGTGGTCCAAACTCTGCTTGAATGAGAGGTAGGCAGGTTTGGTCTGATGCCAGCCCTGGAAAAATGTGACATTGTATCTCTGTGTCAAACCCCAGGAATACTGAAAAAATAATGGAATATAAGTATTAGGCTTCTTTCTTTACAAATAAAACAATTCTAATTAAAGGAAGTGGAAAAGCAATTAAATATACCTTATTTTCTTCCAAGTTGTGGGGAAAAATTCTTTTTAATTAACATTTTCAATCACTGTGTAAGGCCAAGGACTGAATTCTCTGATCACCAAATCAGAGTTGAAAGTTTATAATCAGAGAAATTGCTATGTACATTTATCTTGTTATTTCTTGATTCTTTGAATTTTTGATTTCTCTCCTTTGTGTATTTAATTTCTTAATCAACTATTGACTTTTAAAAATATGTAATATATAACATATATTATTGACTTTACTGAACCTCTAATTGTGGTAAAGTTGATTTAGTTAAATATTTATAATTTATCTCATCAAGGATCACAATTGTGACTCCATGAAATCTCACTCTAATATCTGGAGTCAAGGATGCACTTTGGCCTTTTCTCTGTATGTTTTAGTGGGGGGGGGGGGGGGGGGGGGGGGGGGGGGGGGGGGGGGGGGGGGGGGGGGAGGGGGGGGGGGGGGGGGGGGGGGGGGGGGGGGGGGGGGGGGGGGGGGGGGGGGGGGGGGGGGGGGGGGGGGGGGGGGGGGGGGGGGGGGGGGGGGGGGGGGGGGGGGGGGGGGGGGGGGGGGGGGGGGGGGGGGGGGGGGGGGGGGGGGGGGTGGGGGGGGGGGGGGGTGGGGGGGGGGGGGGGGGGGGGGGGGGGGGGGGGGGGGGGGGGGGGGGGGGGGGGGGGGGGGGGGGGGGGTGGGGGGGGGGGGGGGGGGGGGTGGGGGGGGGGGGGGGGGGGTGGGGGGGGGGGGGGGGGGGGGGGGGGGGGGGGGGGGGGGGGGGGGGGGGGGGGGGGGGGGGGGGGGGGGGGGGGGGGGGGGGGGGGGGGGGGGGGGGGGGGGGGGAGGGGGGGGGGGGGGGGGGGGGGGGGGGGGGGGGGGGGGGGGGGGGGGGGGGGGGGGGGGGGGGGGGGGGGGGGGGGGGGGGGGGGGGGGGGGGAGGGGGGGGGGGGGGGGGGGGGGGGGGGGGGGGGGGGGGGGGGGGGGGGGGGGGGGGGGGGGGGGGGGGGGGGGGGGGGGGGGGGGGGGGGGGGGGGGGGGGGGGGGGGGGGGGGGGGGGGGGGGTGGGGGGGGGGGGGGGGGGGTGGGGGGGGGGGGGGGGGGGGGGGGGGGGGGGGGGGGGGGGGGGGGGGGGGGGGGGGGGGGGGGGTGGGGGGGGGGGGGGGGGGGGGGGGGGGGGGGGGGGGGGGGGGGGGGGGGGGGGGGGGGGGGGGGGGGGGGGGGGGGGGGGGGGGGGGGGGGGGGGGGGGGGGGGGGGGGGGGGGGGGGTGGGGGGGGGGGGGGGGGGGGGGGTGGGGGGGGGGGGGGGGGGGGGGGGGGGGGGGGGGGGGGGGGGGGGGGGGGGGGGGGGGGGGGGGGGGGGGGGGGGGGGGGGGGGGGGGGGGGGGGGGGGGGGGGGGGACAGGTAATATTGCTTCATTATTTTTCTGTAATCAAACCTGAATTTGAAGTTGGAGTTTGGCAACAGGGAAGTTGTCAAAGCCCTGCTTTGAGTCTGAACATTCCTTTGCACTTTTCACAGATTTGAAACCTATCCTTCCTGAGACATGGATTGTAATTCTCTCAATTCAACTACCTGGAGGGTTTTGGGTTTATTATTGTACCAGGACACACTCTGATGTGTTTGTGAAAATTTGAAAGAGAAAACCATAGAGAATAATGTAAACACATGTGGGCATTTCCCTAATACAAATGGATATAACAATCACTTAGGTTATAGGGTTATTGCAGAAAGTTATAAAAGAAAGTATTTAACAATGAACAGACTAATGGTATTTAGACTTGTTTATCAATACAATATATAACTGTGTGAATTAAAAAATATCCAGAAACTCTGACCACAGTCCAAAACCTATTTGATCAGAATATCTCAATGTGAAATTCTTGGTGGTCCTGCCTTGTATCAGAGTTCAGGACAAGTACCTTAGACTATATCCTGGTACATAGAAAAGGCCTATTTAATATTTCTATTATTGCTGTTAGTGATGTCCACTACCTCAACTGAAATATATATATTTAGTAATGTGTCATTAAGAGCTAATGTTTGATTGAGAGTTGAATTTCTACCAGCAATATTTGAGTTCTGTGTGTTTATGAATGCCTCAGCACTCCAGTCATTCATTTGTTGGATGCATTTTGATGGCAATGTTTTTGTTCCAGAATGGACTTAGGTATCTAGAATGTATCTTCTTAAAACTTCATTGAAAATATCTAAATCACATCTTAGTAGTCTAAAACAAATGCCCATTATCACTGAAACACACTAGTTTACATGGACATGTGGTTTACAGTCTCTTTGTAAAACACATACATCAATGACAAAAGCTTATTTATGCATACTTACATCTGAGGGAGAGTTGTGACTTAATTTTCACATCATTATTATGTTAATCTTCTCAAAATTCTCTTTCCTCTCTCATTATAAAAGAAATAAGAATTTCCAAAAACTCCTAAGTGGAGGAAACATATTAAACTTCTGACAACTAATCCAAGACCAATTTTACTATTAATCATCAACCTTTGTGTTTCAATAGAAAATTAGTTTTTATCAACTCAATTCTCTTATGCTTTAGATATAATTCAAAAAAATCACTGCAGTCATTATTGTAGCAATCTTCTGTCACAAATCACCAAGAATTTCATCTTGTGCAGGTTGTAACATTCCATTTGGTTCTAATAAAAGATACTTATTGGGAAATGAGCCTTTTTTAACTGTATAATTTACCTGTATATTAGTTATATTTGCAGCACTGTGATTAAAATAACTCTCAGAAACACTATATGGTTATAATACTTAAGTATTTATTTCTTTTAATTGTTTCAAAAAATTTAGTTCAAGGTTGTCTGATCCTTGCCCTTGGAAAGGATATCACAACTGAGGTTCCATGTGGCAGAGGGTCTTCATCACCTTTTGGCAGACAGGAAGTACATAGTACATAGAGTGAATACAAGAAGAGTGCACATAAGTTAGAGACCCCAAAGACACACCCTACTGACCAACTTCTTCCAAATAAACCCACATACTGCTTCTTACTTTCTCCATAAGGCTGTCATATTATAAACTCATCAAGGGATAAATCCATTCATCATGTTAAAACTACCATAATATAGTTATCTCTGAAAATGCTCTCATACTCACATGCAGATGTGTGAT